GGGGAAAGAATTAAGCAATAAATAAATAAATAAATAAATAAATAAATAAATAAATAAATAAATAAATAAATAAATAAATAAATAAATAAATAAATAAATAAATAAATAAATAAAGATGCAATTACATTGCAATTTACTGTACTCCTCCAATTACTCTGAGTTTAGCACAATGCAAATCAGTTCAAAATTTCTTGACTACACGATGCATGGGGACATTTCTTTGAAGAACTGTTTCTTATTGAACACCCATCAGGAGGTTGTTTATTTTAAATTGTTCCACTTTGGGCTGTTTTTTGACCCATTTTTGATTGTGTGAATGGCTGTGTCATCGTATTCTGTTCACAGCACCATTCCATCTTCTGTCTTTGTTGGTGCTGTTCCATCAGGAAATCAGGAAATCAGTAATTGTGCCTGTTGTCCAAACTCTTTCCCTTTATTTTTTTTAATAAACTAGTTGACTTAAGCACTACATCACATGGGCACTGGGATCTTTTTGACTGCAATGCTGATGCAGCACTATTCCACTTGGAACAGTGCTTGCCAGCCTTGGGTCCCCAGATGTTCTTGGACTACAACTCTCAAAAATCCTGGTCAGTAAGAGAGTGGTGAAGGTTTCAGGGAATTGCAGTCCAATAACATCTGAGGACTCAAGTTTAGGAACCACTGACTTCTAATAAAAAAAGGGGGGGGATAATTCCAGAGAAGATGGTAATGGACAAGGAGAGAATGCAGGCAGAGTCAGGACAGACCCACGGGCGATCAATGTGTCAGCCTTGCTTCCCTTTAAGGTAATTTAAAGAATGCTGTAGTCCACCACACTGAATCAACCCTGTTCAACTGAGGCTGTTGCATAAGGATGGGGATAGCAGCACAAACAACATGTGACATGAATGGATACATTAATACTTTGACACAACTCCCAGATTATTTGGGCAATGTAGTCGTACCCTAATGCACTTATGCTGGCAAAGCATTGATTCAATACTGGTAGCTTATGTTTTAAGTTATACAGATTTCTTATTCAAACCAAAATAATCAGAATAGTAAGAACAATGTATGATTGTATGAACAAGTGACATTTAACCTACTCTAGAAGCTGGTCTCCAAATAAAGAATATAATTTATGAACAGAAGCCATGGTTGCAATAATACAGTACCTGCAGTATAACTTATCTGAAAAGATCAGGTTAAATACTTAGCAGTGCTGAATATTCAAATCATTTCAAAGAACATGGAGTGTATCCATAAAGTGCCACTTTAATATACTGAGCTCACTCAATCTAAATTTGCTGAAGTAACTAACCTCTTGTACAGTATCCATATTTAAAGAAAAAAACAGGTGGGTTGTGTTTGATTAATTGAAGAACTCTACCCTGATTTTTAAGAAGTCTAAGGCTTCACTGGCATGCACGCTGTGGCTTTCTACAAGCCTCCTATGTGAAGATCAAGGACAAAAGATATCTGACTTGTTTACCCAACTGCCAAAGATCTGAAGATTCCAATGATCAACAGAAAAGCTGGCTTTCCTAGCCTTAGCCTCCTTGCTATCAGGTTCTCTCTTTGTCTGTCTGTCTGCAATAATGAATCTGGGAAATGGACTCAGCAACTGCTAGAGAGGCTTCAGTGACACATGTAAAAAGCCATAGGTAAAGAGGGGATAGTGTTAAAAGGCTCTGAATTCCCTCTGCCCTCTGTGTAAACTATCTCTGCAAGCCTGCATCCAAGGCTACCCTTATATGAGTAGGTGAGCTAGACAGTCACCCCATATGTTGAGCTGAAGGAGTTACTGCACTGAGCTTAGTGATGTGGTGTTGATTTTTGTGGAATATCTGCAGACAGTTATGTTCAAAAACCTAGTAAGCCTCTTTAACATTATTTTACAAAGTCTGAAAGGTTCTTTGGGTATTAAATATAAAAATAAATGTGTCATTTTGCTTTAAGGCAGTGGTTCGCAACCTTGGGTAACCCAGGTGTTCTTGGATGCTTTTCCAGACAATTTCCAGAAGGCTTCACCACCAGCTGTGCTGCCTGGGGTTTCTGGGAAATGGAGTCAAAAGTCAAAGGACACCTGGGTTACTAAGGTTGGGAGACACTGCTTTTTTTTCCAGCTTCCAATTTGATGTTATTTATTCTAGAAAATTTGCAGAGCTTTTCTTCAAAGTATATCACTAACCAGTATAAATACTACAATCTCTTTCTCCATCTATCTACAGTGGTGCCCCGCTTGATGAGGATAATCCGTTCCAGCAAAATTGCTGTAGAACGAAATCGTCGTCAAGCAAAAATCCCATTGAAATGCATTGAAAACCGGTTCAATGCATTCCAATGGGCGAAATACCTCAGCGTCCAGCGAAGATCCTCCATAGGGTGGCCATTTTCTGGTGCCTGTAAAGTGAGGAATCCGTCCTAAAACACAGTGGGGAGCCATTTTACACAGCGGGTGGCCATTTTGAAAGCCCGACGATCAGCTGTTTTGATCATTGTTAAGTGAAAAATCAGTTCCCGAAGGAGGGAACCCATCATCGTGAAGCGATTTTTCCCTATTAAAACATTGTTTTGTAATCACAAAAGAGATCACAAAAACTTCATCGTTAAGCAATTTCCTTGTCTAATGAGGTAATCGTCAAGCAGAGCACCACTGTACCTCTTCACCTATTTTAAAAAGAAAATGGGGTGGAACCTTCACTGAATGGAATCTTCAGCCAATGCACTATTTGTCCTAGAATCAGCCATGTGTTCATAACTGCCATACTCTCCTAGCATTCCCTCCCAGCCTTATCTAGGCTAGAAGAAGAACTTGGAAAAGTTTTTTGCTAATTATCCTGGCTGGGGGAAATCTGGGAGTTGCATTCCTCCCAGAGTAACATCATTTCCAGAGTCACCTTAGGACACATACCTATTTCTTTCATACAGGCCCTATTTTGGGGGGGGGGGGAATCTTCTGACAACTTCAGAAGGGTGGGACTATGCTTGGGTTTTACAAAAGCAGATTGTAAACCGGGAACTAACTATTTATCATGAGTACCTTTTAGAAAATGAGAGTCTCTTTGTCCTAGGATTAGGATAACAGATTTTTCTCTCCTGTATTCATTGTAACATCCAGCCTACACTGACTTCAGTTTGGCAAAGGCAAAACCTCAGGAGGCATCCATCAATTTCAACAAACCTATTTTAAATGAAAGCCCTTCTGTTTCAACGCCTCCAAACAGCTTGGGCAGCCACAGCTTTTGAATAACTATATGCAGGATGTTTCGACACCTACAGCACACATGGGCCCTGCCTGCGCCATGAAGAGCTAGTGTAAGTGTTTACTTACATTTGCACCTGCTTCCTCCTAAAAGCTGGGGGGGAGGGGTGGGCAGCAATTATTAAGACAAGCTGTCCATTAAGAAACTGGCTGGATAGCTCAGGGAGCTAAGGATCAAAGGGTTCAATTCCCCACTGTGGCTTCCAAGAGAAGAGCCAGCCTGTGTAGCTATGGGCAAGCTGCACAGTCCCAGGGTATCCCCAGAAGAAGGGATTGTTACGTACACCACTTCTGAGTATTCTCTACCTAGAAAAGCCTGGAAAGGGTTGCATAAGTCAGAACTGACTTGACAGTATACTATCTTTATTAGTACAGTATTCATGAAGGAGAAATCTAACAGTGAGGATTATGCTGTAGAAGATGAACTCTACAGAAGGTTTAGCTATGGTGCAGAAGTCAGGGCTTGATTATCATCTGCTAATGTCCACTACTAGAATCCTACAATAATATTGTGAAGATGCCTTTGTATTGCTTCTGAATTATAGCAGGGTTGAGAAAATGATGTAGAGGCAGAATCTGAAAGCATTCACTGGCGAAAATCCAGAACCCACTTCTATCAAATTATACTACATTAAATAGCCCACCCAATTTGCTTGTATGCAAGCATCCGTACATTTAACTGCACTGTTTTGAGTTTTAGTATTTCTGCAAAATATACAATACCACTTACTATTTATAACATAACATAATGAAATATTTATCACAGATTATGGTAATATTAACTATAGAAAGACACTCAGTAGGTGACAGAATGTAGTAGATTATTCAGGACTTCCTAATTTCTGAGCTTCTCATTTCTGTGGTTTTGGAAGATACTGTCTATATATTTTCAAAATGTTTGGCAAGGGAAGTTGTAAGTACCATCCTTCTACCTGACTCTTTTGCAAAGAAACTTCTGGGCCCACTTTATAGAACCAAAAGCTTGGTATATGATGCTGGGGGGGGGGCAATAAATTATTTTTGTTCAATTTCTACAGTAAAGCACCGCATAACAACTGCCATGGTCTGGGATTTATTTATTTGGGTGTTTTTTTTTTAATCTTCTCTTCCAATGAGCTTGAGGTCAAGATCTGGCCCATACCGCCCTGGCAGCTGCAGGATTGGAGCCAGCCTGACTCAAGAATGGCCTGGTGTTTGCCGGCTCAGGCTCTGGCCTGCATAGCAGCTGCTGGGCCACTCATGAGGCTCATCTGGAAACTTGGAAGAAGGCCTATTTAAGGAGTGATTCCCCCTCCTGGAATTTGCGTTAATAACAAAGGTTTTTGGTCCTGTTGTTCTGATTGCCTTGCTGCTCTTTAGCTTCAGAGTCTCTGAGTTCCAGTACAGTATTTCTGCTTCTATTCCTACCTTGGTCCATACTCTTGTCTCCTACATCTCTGCATTTTGACCCCAGTGTTTCTTTTTCTGTTCCTGCTTTGGCCCCTGCTCTTGTCTCTGCTTGCCTCCTGCATCTTGGCGCCTTGTTCTGGCTCCATTCTCCCAGCCCATTGGTGCTCCTGCCTCAACTTGGTCATGACCAACTGAGCAGTGAGTGCCTTTGGACTTGATACTCTGCGTGGTGGACTGGGTCCTGGTGCCCTTGCCCCTGGCGAGAGACTGCCTGGGATATCTTGGACTGTGACACTTCAGATAATATACAAGGCTCTCTACTCTTCTCACTCTGCAACGAGTGGGTATGCATAGTGATTGCCCCCAGTGAATTTTGTTTGTTTGTTTGATTTTTCAGACACATGCTTTGAATAGCTAAGCCATCTAACAAAAACAGTAACCACCATCACCAACATCCTGGGATATAACCTAGTCTGAAAAAGAAATGAGAGCCGGAAAAATATAAGAAAGTTAAAGGTAAGAGAAGGCTGAAAAGCATCTGGAGCTGCAACAGTGCCTCTCTAAAGAATCGCTATGCTTGCTTCTATCTATCCTCATCTGCAAACAAGTCTTAGTGTTAACGGTGAGTCACATGCACTCCCCCACATCTCCTCCAGTGATCTGAATGCTTCATAATGAAATAACAAGGGACATGTTTGATTTCACAGGTACTGATATTGTGGATATGATAGAAGAGTTCTAGCTGCAGGTGGCTTGTGGACCAAGCTGGGTGAGCGCCTCACTCCACAATGTTGTTTTTTTTGGGGTGGTGGTGGTCTTATCTGGTCATAAACCACATATTACCTCAGTTTTATTAATGAGACATTAACAGTATTTGCAGCAACCAATGTGAATTTGAAAGTCCCTGGTTTAATAGTGTCCCATGGCACTTTGCCTGTATCATAGACTGTGGCACTCAAGGCAAGGGTGAGTCGGGAACAACGTCTCCCCCCACCCCCCGGGATATCGGAGAGCTTCCCTTTCAGTTACAGCTATGCAACCCTGTACCTGTGGCTTTATATAAAGTAGAAACAGAAAAATCTGGTCAAAGTGGAGAAGAGCTTTAAGGATCTTGCTTAGCTGTGGAACACAAACATCTATGTGTGGCCCAGTACTTAAAGGTAGGACCTCAAGATAATTGGTGGGGTTAAAAGGAGCAAGTGTTTAGTGGGAATTGGGAGAAAATGTACAAAAAGATGGAGTAGATAGACTGGGGTTACATAGCATATCAATGCCAGAGATGAGAAGCAGAAAGCCACCACGGTCTATTACTTACCCCCACGATTCCTTTTTCAGGTGAAAATGTGTACAATAGTCCTTTTTTCTCTCTCATCACTCTGGCCTGCTTCCTCCATTTCTGAAGCACTTCTTTATCTCTAAAAAAAAAGCATCATTATTCTCATCCTCAAAATTTTTATTACACTTAATAAAGCACATTCTACCATGTGTCACCAACATTTATTTATTCATTTGACTTGATAGCACACAATTATGATACTGTTACCACAGACATGGAATTACTATTAATCACAAAGAAGTACTGCTCATAGAAATAAGTTTTATGGGAAGATACAGGAACTAATGGCTATGGAACAGAGTGCTGATCTTTGAGGTCCACATTGACAATTTAATCTGGGGAAAAGAATCACATTGAATTTGAGTATATCAATTTACAGATGCTATCAGTACTATATATGATGCTTGCTCACAACCCCTTAAAATAATCTTGTTTATTTCATACCATATGTTTGAAAGCCATTCATTATTATGAGTATACTTAGGGTATTTGTAAGTGATTTATTTGACTATTGCTTGCCTAAAGCTATACAGGCTGCTTCTTCGGGAAGCACAATGCAGAACTAAATTCCAAACTCTGGCTTTGTAGCCAGATACTTAACTCACTGAACTATCAAGCCAGTGTTTGCTAATTTGATAAATAATAAAAGGGGAACAAATTATTACATATCTCATCTAACCCAAGAAACCTGCTGGGGGTGGGGAGCAGAAATTCCTGTTATGCTAATAGTTGCTTAGCTATTTTATTTGGGTTGTATTCAGGTAGAATTAGAAAAGATTAGGAGAGAACTCCTCTCCATTGTAGAAGCACCGTTTAAGAGACTATGGAGGGAAGCCCTTTCCTAACTGCTTTATGGGTGGGCCCAATCCATAGAGTAGACTATGCCTAGATGGGCAGCATATAAACAAACAAACAAACAAACAAATAAATAGTACTGGCACATATTTGTGCTAGGAAGCAAGGAGTCTTGAGCCCAAAGGCCTAAGCATATGTTATAGATAACTTTCTGTTAGAGTGTTCCTTATGTGCTGATTGTGTGTGATTGTTATAGTAGGAGCTTTGCTCACTTTACATAGTCTGAAAATTAGTTTGCTTTGGTTTGTGAGCAGTCTTCTGGATCTAAACAATTCTTTCTTTGCAAGACTGGTTTTCTCAAATGTAACAGTATGCCTGTATAGCGTTTATGCAAAACTAGCATGATTAATAACAATTAATACCTGCCTCTCAGGTATTAGTCACCCATTTAAAAGATCTGTGAGACAGCATATTTAGTTCTTGCAGCACAAATCTCTGCTTCTGCTAAACCAGGGAACACACTGTGTGAACATCATAAAAATCAATTGCAGATAAGTGGACCCCATTGGTGTTCGAACCATTGCATATGCTGATCTTACTCATACTAGACTATTTAGAGACAAATGACTTGGAGGAAGATTAACAACACTATCCCATATGCATCTACTCAGAAATAAGTTCTACTATATTCAGTAGGGATTGTTCCCATGTAACCATCTTTATATGTAGAATCAGAGCTGGCCCAACACATTGTGCTTCCAGCGGCAAACAAAAAGATTGAAGCCCACCAAATAGGTGGTACAAAAGAAGACCAGTAGCTGAATCTTCCCTCAACACTGTGGATGGGACAGGATCTTCCACTGTACCTGAAGAATGTGAACTCCAACACCTCCTTGCTGCCTCCCAGCTTAAGTACCCGAGGTGGCTACTTTACATAATATAAAACTGGTATTGTACGGGGTTGCATTATAAGATATCAGACCATCCTAACCTGATTTACTCAGGCATAAATCTCAACTTAGAGAAATGTATTTCACTGTAAACAGGCACAGATTTGCATTGGACATCTCCAGCCGGCTCGCATATTTTGCTTGTAGCAGTTCCCACAATGCTGTGGGCACTAAAATAAATGTTCCATCACAATGATAGTAAAAACCAAGATTAAAAAGATTTCTATTTACTTAGTTTATTTCTTAATTGCGTCCGTACTCAACAAGCGCTTGTGATTGACCATAAAAGTAATAAACACAGAACTGCTTTAAGCTGCTGAAAGTGTTTTAAACTGATGAAATTTGTGACAGTATAATAGGGGTACAATATGAAATTAAAGAGCAGCTTCAATCAGTAAAAGCATGGTAGAAAAAGCATTTTCCCCCAGTGGCCAACAAGTTTCCTTGGAAGGAAGTTCTGGGGCAGGCTACAGCTTCACAGTAGGCCCTTGTCTAGGGTTCTCACCAGCTTCACGTCAATGGGAAACATAAGCCCTGGCAAAGATTTTAGAGGAGGCAGTCTCTCACATATCCTGCCCGCATGCTGTATGAAGAAATCTAGGTGGTGAAAGGTTTGGAATGTGGCATCAGTATGAGCCTGTTAATAGTCTGTCAGTGTCTGTTATCTTATTATTTGAGAAACACTATCGTTGAAAGCATATTGCTTATGGCTTTTAGTATCAATATTTTTATGCCAACAGAAATTCATCTGATACACAACAGTGTTCTTAATTTTGTTAGTACTGATTGTATAGCACTATTGCTCTTCTTGCTGCTGCCATTATGCATTCTTTTTCAGAATTAAAGCATATTGGCTAAAGCCAATTGTTAATCCCAGCTAGAGTAGAAGTACTGGCCAAAATCTTATTTCCATAATTTAGCACACTGAAAGCTGATGATGTCATCAAGTTATACTGCTAAAATATCTCAGTATACATACACATGTACCATGGAAATATCATAGTCTGCTGGAGTTCATTAGAGTGGTTTTCAGTTTATATTAACTTTTATTCTTTTTTTTTGTCTGTTCGGAGGTGATCTAGAACTAAAGCAGTGTAGTGATAAGGTCTAGCACTTAATAGTTTGTTTTTAAAACTAAATTAAAAATGCTTTGGGGTAACTAGAAAGATAAACGGGCTGAGTGTTCCCACTGTCCCAAAACATCATGTGCCAGCTTACTACAACATCAGAAAACCACCCAAAGTCATACACCAGTCTTTTGTAGAACAAAACAAATGATCCCATAGTCTGTGGGGTTCCCAATCTTTTTGTTTTTAAAACTAAATTAAAAATGCTTTGGGGTAACTAGAGAGAAAGATAAAGGGGCTAAGTGTTCCCACTGTCCCAAAACATCATGTGCCAGCTTACTGCAACATCAACTGACCTAAGCAAAACACCCTTCAAATTGTGGTGGTTAAAACAAAATAGAAGCCCCCCCAAAATGTGGGGGAGTCCAGATTGAAAAGAAAAATAAAGGGCAGTATGATTTGCATTGAGCTTTACATCATGTGATCATTTTAAAATGCTTTGAATTTCACCCATGTCAATTCTGGAGTAAATTGTAAAGTATTTTCCAATGTAGTTATACTTAAATACTGACTTATGAGGTACCATTCATTTTGTGGGTTTGCTGTAACTGGAACTAACAAATGGATGTCATCCTATATTGCGGCATGTTATGAAACCACCTAAAAGTAATTACATCAGACTGAAAACATTGCAGAGGCTTGTGTCACTTCAAGCTATAGGCTTATACGAACCTTTGTTCCCCTCATGGGGGTAGGGCAGAATGATACAGAAAATGATAAATGTATTACTAACATTTGTCATAAATTTTCAAAGGGTTGTTTAGCTTAAACATCCTGTCAATCCTGAGTTCAGTTACACAAGTCAATCCACCATGGAGATGTTAATGTAATGGACACCAGTTCCCAGACAACATATGTCTTAACTGAAGGCAGAAATTACCTGCTTTGTCTCATAGTCGTGCAATACCGAAAATGTCATTCCTTCCATCTGCTACTTCCAATTGCTCTCTAAAAATCCCCACCTCTGCCTATCACTCTCAGCTGGACTAATTTCTTGACTCTGGACCCGTCTGGCAGAAAAATCACTGGCTAAAAGGTTACAGAGTAAGGGAGCAAAAAGTGGCACATACAGGAGTGCCTTCTCCTTGGTTACTCTTTGGCCACATTATGGTTTTCCCCACAGCTCCAATAGCATAGACCACCTGCTTTCACATGGAGCTCTGTCCTGAGTCATGTGCAGCAGCATAAAATCTAATTTTGGATCACTGCAAAGCATTGCAAAGCACTGAAAGCAAGACCAAAGCAAGGCAAAGCATTCATGTACTCTACATATAGCCACACAATCTGGAAAGGTTGCATATTCTTCTGTCAAACAATCATTCATAATTAATAGTTCAGTACCATGGAGTTAATTCCAGCTCTTGGTGACCCTATCCAAGGTTTTCTAAGTATAGAGTATCTAAACATACTGTGTGGCCAGAGGCTGGGAGTCTGATTCCCCACTGTGCCTCCTGGGAGAAGAACCAGCCTGTGTGGCTACAGAGTTCCAGGATGCTCCCAGAAGAAGGGAACAGTAAACCACTTCTGAGTAATCTATACTTAGAAAATGCTGGGAAGGGTTGCCTTGAGTTGGAATTGACTTTATGACATATAATCATTATATGGCAAATGGTAAACGCTAATGTGATGGGAACAAGAAAAACAACACTTGCAATGAATAACAACAGCAGCAGCATCAACAACAATACTTACTTTCTCCTCTGTTCAAATAAAGCCTGTTTCTCCTTCATTTCTTTTAGTGCTGCCAATCTGCATTCTTCAGCCCTCTTACTCTGAATGATCAAATCATAGGATGAAACTGCAGGAAACAAATTTTTCTTGACCCTTTTGAAACAAAATGTGTTGGTACAGTCAATCAAATTTTGTAATAAAGGGCAAGCAAAATGAATGTTTAAAACCAGTGGTTTAGAAGTGGGGTCTAAAAGTAGCAAATATCTATCCCGTTTCCCAGTACACGTCACCTTCCTTCTTTTCAATGTAGAATACTTAGTACTCTAGAACCAGCAGCTTCTACGACATTACAGTGTTGACCTCAGCCTTATTCACAGAGCCTAGAGCAGATGCCTAGAATTTAGCTTTGTACCTTCATTTTTTCCACAAGAATCACATTCATGAGCATCTTTACCTGATTTTGATCAAATTTGACTAAGGCTGCAACTACATGATCAAATACTACGAGTTTTGCTCCACTTATAAAATAGGTGATTTTGAAGTATTTTTTAATTGACCCCATAATGTAAATGCTAACTGGAATTGGTCCAGCCTTTGGGCTCCCTCCGCTGCTGGGAGGCTCCTACTTTTTCAAGCTGGAATGTGCTTAGTTGTGGTATGTTCCTATAAATTGGGAGGGCATGTCTGTAGATGATATTTCTGTGATGTAGGCAGTTGGAGTATGATGTTCAGGATTGGGGGGAACATACCTCCTGCATTGTTTCTTCTCCTCTGATCACCCTCCAATTTAAAAAAAAAACATGAGATTAACACTAGATCACCCTATCATTATTTCTCACATTTATGCTGCATAAAAGGATCAGCAGAGGGAGGACCAGAGAATGAAGGAAGGAGGATCGGCAAAGGTGGGACCAAAGGAAAGAAGAGGGGTTGTGGGCTAGAACACTACTTGCACCACATCCAGTCTGAATGGTGAACTTCTGAATCAACCCATAGCCCCTGTGTGACCACTGCTTGCAATTTCATTCATAATACAGACTGCAAATCAAATTGCAGCATAGTTGCAGCCTAAGAGTGCAATCTTTACTCCAAAAGTTGATGGTCTGGGTGTGGTGAGGATGATGCACTGATACCCTTTGCACTGATCTGTGCTAGAAGAAAGGCTAATCACTGATGTGTGGATAAACACTTCGGCAGAAATCCATCCCCACTGCACTCAGTGGGACAAATAGCTGCTGCCAGATGCTCTTCTGACCCATTGTAGTAGTTTAAAACAGGATCTTAATCCAAAGTCACTGTACTCCCTACAGGCCTAATTAAAACTTGCCAGCTATAGCAGACTCCCACTTACTGTTGCTGTGGTAAGGGAGGACTGGAAATACTTGGATCTGCCTGCTATAATATCCAGGTGAACACCCCTTCTGCCCCACTGAAATACCACTCCATTGTTCCCCAGTACTTTGGAATTGCTTTTCCTGCTTTATATGCAGCACGAAAGCAACAAACATCAAATCGATTTTATTCAGTGTAAGATAGTCATAATTAACTTTCATTGCTTTTCAGTGGGACTTACCCACCATGGGTGTGGTGCATGACCTTCCCTCCAACCCACCTGATTGTAGGAATGTAGCCAGCTGTTTGGTTTGTTTGCTTGTTAGAATCAAATAAAGATATGTATGAAGGAATTTGGAACAGGACTTAAAATAAGAGTTATTTAAACAAAAGGAATTATTGAAATCATATTATTATGAGAAGGCCTTAAATGTATGGGATAAAATCATATTTTTAAAAGCCTGTTCTGTTCTTGTTTTATTCTGAACCTGTTATTTAAAACACTAGAGTTCCTTTCTTGTGCCTTCAATTTTCAGGACAAATTTGCCTACATTCCAAGCTGCTGCTTTTTTTAAACAAATTCCAGCTGAAACCTATGATCATGTTTTCACATATTTGCACATATAGGTCACGATACACAGATTTACATTTGGCACGCCCATCTCCTGCAACAAACAGGAGAGCACCCCCAAGCAACATCATCTTCCCCTTTGATACAGAAGTAGAATGAGTTCAATAGGAAATAAGACTGGAGGTAAGATTCATGCAAAAGTTCAAATTGGATTCAGCTGCAAAAGTAGGAAACAAAAATGTTTCAATATAGGAACATATGTTCTTGTTAATTTTTTATACTTCTAAATATACAGATGCTCCTAATGAATGATCTGTTGCACACTATTTTGGTCATTAGGAATTCTTCTTTGTACCTCACTGCTGGTTGAATGAGGGCAGCTGGCTATGGAACACAGGGCCTTCTGGGTGGTGGCAGTCTCTCTTTTTTAAAATACTGCTCCTCAATTTTATTTGTAATATTACCATTTAAAAACATGTTATAGATTTTTAAAAAGTAATTGACTGGGTGCTAGCTGCCTTGAGGATCTACATGGATAGAAAGATAGTGTAAAAGACAGTGGAATAAATGTATGTATGCATGTGGGCAGCAATGAAGAATGCGCATGGCGGTGCTGACTCCTCCCTGCCACCTTCCCAAAGTGGTGGTCTGCTTTTGTTGTGGCATCTCACTCAAATTTGTTAAATCGTTTTGAGCATAAAAGGTAGTTTATTTTGTAAGATGGATAACTGCTGTTTGAGAAACACACACAGATTCACAAACTTGTATGACATTTTAACTCCTGGACCATTTTTGTAAAATGAATTTTTTTGAAAATTTAACAACAATATCAAATGGCCAGAGAATGTGCATCAAAAGATTTTATAAAGGCCAACCATGAAGTATTTTGGCATATAGCCATGTTTGACAGTTAGGATTTATGTTATCTTCATGAAATCATTTTGATGTGCATTTGCTTGTTGTTACTTCTGTATGCTAAGAATATTGCATATATGCATATAGCACTGCCAACATATCATTTCATTGGGAGTAGGAGAAGGGAACCTAAAAAAAATTTCAGGACTGCTTATTTTGAAGTGGATGTGAACAGCCTGCCACCTTCTGGATTTTTTCAGGAAAGGGAAAAGAAAATAACAGGAATTACTTTAATTCCAGATGACCCTGCCCTAAGTACATTCTCTTGAATATGCCTGGGATATACTCATATACAGCACATGCCACCTGCAGGTTAAGTGCCTTTTCCTATAGCACTCTGTGGTCCATAACTTTGAACTGCACAACACTCTGATTTTACTGTCTGCTGCTTCAAATGTGCCATAATCCATTTCTTTACCAAAAGAAAAGTAGGCGGCTGTTGAACCCATCAACTCCAAGCAATTTATGTATCTGAGCAAGCTGAAAAGTAGTTAGTTCACAGAGTAGTATTTGTTCCGTAAGAGCAAGCTATGTAGAATTAATCTTTTGCTCTTTGAAATGCACTGTTGCCTTTTGAAGAATTCAGCTAGAGTGCTCTGAAAAACAGGAGCATTTTCAATAGCAATTTCTGTGTCTATTTATCCCTCAGTTATTTTCACATGAAATGTGTTATGGGCCCTATATTTCAAAACACAAAAAGAACGAAGTATGCTTTTGATGTCATAACAAAGCATGTATATGAAGGGAAATGTTCCAACATATTAGTTATTATTCAAGGTTTTCTATAGTGGTTTCAGGTATAATTTATCAACCTGTTTTAATGGCCATCATGCAGAACAATAGAAAGGTGGGACATATTCAACCAATACAACCCTGCCTGGCCTTTCAGATTCTCATAGGAGGCTCTTTTCTCAGTTTTACCATGCTTAACATTCTTACTAATGTACGTAGTGTCTGTTTCAAATACTTAAAGGTTCCTCAACAGATTCTCCAGAGAGATGCAGTTTGAAAGTCACTGATGAAGACACCTATCGGACCGCACAAAGAAAAGGTTTGCAGGGTGCTGGCTATATGGCTCCATTTGAGATGGTAAAGGCCCAAACCCTTTGACATAAGGATTATCTTATAAACAGCAAAGCTCTAAAGATGCATTGAGAACTTTCAAAGGTTAAGGAGTGCTTAAGGATGTTGAAAATTACAGAAATTCTCAACAGTGAAAAAAAGCCCACTATGAAGACAGGAGATAAATGTATACTGTATTTCCTGTTACTGAATGAAGATTTTTTTGGTTTTTTAAAATTACATGCTAGGGCACAAACCTAATTGGCCAGTATTGCTGAGCTATGCTGAACTGGAACCCTCTCAGCCAAGGGATGTCAGAAATTACTTTAGACTCCCCTGATCCCGGCTTAATTTTGTGCCAGCATAGTGGCTATGAGATTAGTTTTGGAGGAGGTTGTAATTCAGTTTGATCTCCTTTTCCATTCTTTTGGGGGCGGGCGAGGGGGCTTTTATGCTGATCTCAGCCCCCCCTTAGCAGCTGTACTAGTACATCCAATGACAGATAATAGGCTAACAGGAATATAATTATCTGGTGATCTGTGGTCTCCCTTTTTATAAATAGGGGGAATTACTGTCTTAGTCCAACTTTTTAGGCATGATTTGTCTAATTGTCTATTGTTGTAAAAAGGGGAGCCAGAAGTGAGGCCCAGTAATCTGGATCAGATTTTAGTAAGTCCAGTGGAACAGCATTAAGTTCAGGAGCTTTTCCAGAGTTTAAATCAATAGTTAGTTTCCTTGTATCTTCAATTGTCAGACTAAGATATAACAAAGTTGTAGATCCAGTTAATTAATAGTTTGGTATCTTGTATTTGTGATTTTTTGTGTATGCCAATAAAGGCTCTGACTACTAGCACATCCAGCTGTGCCAGCTGATGGACTGGCTCAAGAGGTTTGTGCTTACACAAGAGGCTCCCACCTATTCCAAACACACTACAGCCAGCATGTCTTTGAGTTTGGATTGCACTGCTTATATATTATCCATCATAAAGAACATGAAAACATCACAACGTGCATCAAATATTTTATTACCTGGATGAAACCATGGATGACTTACGAGAGATGTTCTCATTATTCTTGGTTCTCCTTAGGGTAGGCATAGATTCATTGGCTACTATTTTGCTAGTCAGATACTCTTCTCTCTCATCTTGGATAATTTCATTCCTCAGCTTCTGAAATCGGATCATTTCCTCCTCACTAGGCCATCCATCTGACAAATCCAAACTGGATTTCGTGATGTCCGTCAAATTTAACTTTTCAATAGGAGGCATTTCTATTGAAATCAAAAAGAGATCACTGTATATTCATCAGCAGAACTAACCTTCAAGGGAAGATTGCAAAACATTTCACACTCCCTCTTTTTGTATTTGAACACAACGACCAATTTGACTTTAAACTTGAAAGACAGCTTTGTTTTCCTCAGCCTGCATCTACCACACTATTATAGTGCAGCCATCATTTGAAGAAGATGCAGGAGGATAAAAGACAAAAATGACGTACTAAATAGAAACATTTTCTATAGTGGAGCAGAGAACAAAGCATGAAGAAAACATGGAGAAAACATATTTTTTGAAATTCCCTTTACCTTGCTGCTTGAAAGCCATCAGAACCTATATCTTTTCATCTATGCCTTATGCTCTCAGTAGGGTCATTAATAAAAAAAATGGACTCCCTGAAAATCCTCTGTACACTCCCCCTTAAAAATGGTCTACCACCAATAAATTTCTCTTTCATACTGTATCTCTGAGTCCTATCTGTTCCTATTCTTGGCACCGTGAGACTAGGGCTCCATTGATTCTCACCTGTCGGTTTCTCAACAATCTGGCATGTGCGAAGGACCCCCTAATTATCACCCCTCCTGGGTAGAAGGGGAAGAAAACTCCGGAAATGTTAGGAGGAATGCCTGGAAAACAGTTCCTGCATAACTCTTCCACATCTTCTGCTGTCTTAAAACAATTGCTCTTAGTTAAATAAATCTACATTTTTTGTTTCTTTCTATTTTGAGTACCTTGCTGTTAGAAGCAAATGTCACACTTCCTGAAGTATCTGGATGAAAAAAATATAGCTCTAAATAATAAACTGGCATATATGTATAGTGAGAAACATTATAGCACATTCCTCCTATATATGAAGTAGTCATGGCAGCAAAAGGGGTGAACAGAGTATGTTGTGCTTTCTCAGGGAATTTGAGATTTGCAGAACCTAAGAATTGTTCCTAGTCCAAGCAGGGGAGGGGGGATGCTTCACTCCCAAATTGGGGGCCAGCTGTCTTCCACACTTTGACCACACAGAATGTTTCCAATCAGTTGCATGCCTTCATTGCTTTAAACCAGAAGGGGATAGAGGTTTACATATTTCCTCTATGTCTTTTCATAACCTATGAATTTCAAAACTATAATGCATATGCTTTGGGCCAGAAGCATGTATGAAATAGTCATATATGTGAATTTGAGTTTACGTGATATTCTATAAAACAAATACGGTATTTTTGTGCTTTGCACATTTTTACCCATAAAAAGTAAATATAAGTAGCACAGTCTGTGACTGTGACTCTGTATTAGCACCACTGATTCCAATATTTATGTGCCATTTGGTTAACCTTGGTTTAATATTCAAGGTTCTGAGGTGGGTCCACATATTCAGTAGAATTACTGAGTTGTGCAGCATTGGTACTCAGTTCAAAAGGTGAGGATCACCTCTAAAATAAGGGTGAGAGGCATAGAGATGAAAGACTTAGTTCATGTATAAGGAGAAATGTAAGTGGGAATGACAAGTAAAAAGCTGCCAATGACTTCCCAGTCTTGATCTCTTCGCCTGACAACAGAAGATCTTGAACGTGAAACATGTTTCAGTTAACAAATACTGCTGTCACTTATACAGTATGCTGCTAACAGTATAATGTCTAGTAATCTAGCGCTACTTTGAAATCCACTTACTAGTGTGAAAATTGCAGACTATTCTTTAAAGAAACACTAGACTATAATGCAGGTAATTCAGACCGTGAATACAGTGTAGTGTTACAAGTTCCACAGACAAGGTGAAAGCAGGATAGAAGGATAATGAAAACTTAGCCCAATCCAGTCCTTAGATAAATGCCATACTTGAGCATAACTCAGAAGCAGAAGGCCATGATCAACCATCCTATAGTTCTTGGCTCTCAGGTCTAAAGAATGCCTTCTCAGTTCAAAGATATGAATGGGGGTCTGCCAGAAGAATCAAGCACTTCTGCAAGGCATCTCACAGATGGCATGGTGGTCCAATTGCCCACAAAACAGATTCATGACTTGCCAACGCACTTTTGAGGTTTGGGAAAGAAATGGAGGAAGCCAGCAACATAGAGGCTTTTAGGATCCTGCAACCATGTGCAGATTACCTCGAGGCACCTGATGCTCCTGCTTCTTTCCTGTTTTTCTCAGGCCTTTTAGGTCAAAGTCCCTGCTGAGGACTGTAGGCCACCATTGCTTTTAGCTGCTGTGTACTCATGACCTGAAAGATGCTAGGGCCTGAAACATTAATTGGGCTACTGTACTTAAATCAGTTATATGCCTTATTCATTCATAAGTTGGACAAGTAATATTTGCCATATTTTTAATTTTACATGCTTAATCATGCTCCTTTATTATTATCTTCAGTGGAGCATGGTTGGGCCCTAGCATCAGAAATTACTATGTACAAATAACATAACATATAATAAATGCCAGAGGCAAGATACAACAGGTGAAAGAACAGTACGTTTAGCTCCTTGAATGGCTAGCATACTAAATGCTTCGAGCCTTGAGAAAGTCTCCTGACACACTGAACCTGGACTTAAAAATCTTCTGGCTTATGAAATGCCATCAAGGCAAGAATCCTTAATGCATACACCACAGAAGCCTTGAAAGATTGGATTTCAGTCTAATTATCTTCCTGAACAGAGAAGTAGTTGATTTTTAATTTCAACATAAATATGGGCATTTGTTCATATACATTAATAGAATGTGCATTCTTAATGTTCCTAAAAATGTTGTCATGTATTCAGGCTTTAAATCCTTTACTTCATTATTCCATACTGAAATAATAGAACTACTGGTATGTCATCAGGAATGCGTCCAGGTAAAGTATGCTAGAAATTTGTGGTCAGTATTTTCCACATTTCTCTGTGTTGTTTTTCTGATATAAATACCTCCCAAACATTATAGCTTGTAGGTGAGATGGCAGAATTACAAGTACCCCTGTACAAAACTATCACAAATATCACATGTGCAAAGGAAGGCAATTAGACCATCAGACACCACATATTTTCATACACCTTTTATTTTTAGATAGATAACTCCTTGTTTGATTTCCAGACACATAACCATTACAAGAGTTTTAAAAAAACATACATGTTTTTTCATGAATGTTTACAATAGCTTCTAAAACAAATGCTAGTGTTACATCTGTACAAAAACAATTATTTTAGGATAAATATAAATGATCTGATATAAATACATCTGATTTCACGTTACAGCATTTTATAATGTGAGTGAGATAACAGTAATAGTCATGGACCTCCCTCTAATATGAGAAAACATATCTGCAGTGGAAAGGAAATAGCAGTGAGGAGATGATACAAAGAATAAGAGGCAAAGGAAATCAGGTGCTAAATGAAATGTATCAGCACAGATTTTTCCCCCCTCTTCCTCTTCATACAATGCTACAACATTATCTTCAGCATTGGCAACATTTTACATTGGCAACACATATTTTAAACCAAAAGATTAACAGTCTACTACTGGCCATAATACCTTGAAATACAAAGTTCAACAGACTTTATTCTTTTTAGGAGAAAGAAAGCACACACGGCAGGTTGTAGGTTTAAGAATCCATTTGCCTACAACAGAACTAATCCTCAGAACTATAAGTATGTGCTTTGCTCCTGCATAAGTGGACTTCTCATTCAGTTCAGTGGAGAAATTGCTAAACCAGTGTCATTTTCTGTGTAGGCAAAGCTACCTCCTCCAAGCAAATGAATGGGAAACCTCAGGCACACACTGGAACTGTCATTAATATACTTCAAATACAAATGACCTCATTATTTGATTTAAACAAGGAATCAATTATTACTAATATAATAAGGAGCATTCATTTATCTGCATATTCAGTTTGAACAGTGTCCACAGTGCACTCTCCTTATCTTAAGAACTCTTTTGTTTGAACTTATTGGGCTAAATCTAATTTTTGTCCTGCAGATTTAATTTTCAATTCTTTCAGTGAGCTGCAATTGTCTATTCATTTTTGCCAGTCTACTCTAAACACAACCAATGTTGGATTAGCCCACTGTATCTATAACAGGCAATGAATGATATTGTTTTAAACCTCTGCTTGTGCAATATTGGCCCTGCGTTTGCTTCAAATCATGTTTTGGGATTGTGCTAAATGATTCTTTTCTTTCTGGAGAAGGAAAGTCTGGGAATCATGTCGGGCGTGTACTGCATATCACAGTAAAATTAACTGTTTTCAGAATCCAGATTCTCTTATGAGAGGGATGTCAATCCTACTTTAACATGTCTTTCTTATATATTTCATTATTGAAGAATTATACAAAACATTAAATATAGTATCTATACATGCTAATAAATCAGAAAATCTAGTTTAACTGTAATTTAAAAAATAACATATACCCTTATCTTCTATCTTACTATTCATTCTATTGAGCAAATGCTTCAAACATTCAGTGTGTATATGACCGGATTCTCTCAGTGCTTCTGGATTTAAACCGTGTTAAACCTATAAATCACAAAATTAATATATATATATATTTATGAAATCAACCCTTTCCAGGGATCAAAAACATATATGTGTCCAATTATCTCTAGTTCTGATCTACAATTAGTTATAAAACAGCATCATTTCCAACTAATGGAAGGAAGTAGGAATAATTTTGTTTAGGGAGAATTTTGCTTTATCTGATTATAACATAGCAGAGGAAGTGGCTTACTGCAACACTAAAGCAAACAGCATGATTTACTAAACTTCAAAACATAGAAAATGGAACAAGCTGAAGGAGGATGAACTCATCAAAGGGCTGAGACATTACAGACAACTTTCCACTAATTCCAGTGACATTAGCAAATTCCACTTATTAGGAATTTTTAGCATGTCCCAAGAAGCTTGATAATATAGTTTGGCAACAAGGTTAAATGAATTTCCCAGCAATGGGTGTGCTCAATGTGTGTGTGCATTTGTGGGAAGGCAGGAGATATTTTATGGATTCTGCCTGGTAAATAAGTAACAGCTGTACAAAACAATCTAGGCCAGTGGTCCCCAACCTTGGGCCTCCAGCTGTTCTTGGACTTCAACTCCCAGAAGTCCTGGCCAGCAGAGGTGGTGGTGAAGGCTTCTGGGAGTTTTAGTCCAAGAACATCTGGAGGCCCAAGGTTGAGGACCACTGATCTAGGCAGTACTTACTAGATTTGCTAATTCTGTCCAAACATTTATATATGACAGAACAATTTCTTACATATTTTCCAGTAGCTCAAGAAATACAGGAAAAAGGTTACTCTTTGAGATCATGTGCCCCCTGCATCCTTTGTATGTTCCAGTTCCCTTCCTTGCTTCCTAGTTCATGCTATCTATTGTTTTTCATGACATCCAAATGAAGCAAACAGTTCCATACTTTTGGTTTTCAAAGTAAAATATGGTTTGTGCCAAAGAGAGACTGCTGTCACTGTAAACTATAGTTTCTAAAATCCAAGAAGTACAGGATGGAACTTGAACAACAATGGAGGAGGCACATGTTTCTAAGGCACACACCCCCCCCATGTGCAAATAGCATTTTCGTTGTAAAATATGAAGTAGACTGGTATGTTTAAGATTTGTAAAAAAAAAAATGAAGAAAAAAATGATGTTGTCTTCAAACTCTGAAATCCTACTAAACTCACTATGGAAGCTCATCTGTTTCCACAAATCGTTGAAAGCTTTCCTTCGATCTGGTGGTCTGTCACATTTTCTCTTGTATTCTCTAACAATGGCCTTTGCTTCTTGTTCTAATGGAGAAGGTGAGTCTGTGAAATACAGAATTTCAAGGTAGATGCTATTTTCACAACTAGCATAATTGATAAATCTTTACAGAATCTACTGTGAAGACTATTTTGACCTACCAACAGGCTGGTGTTCAAAAACATATCAGAATCCAGCAGTGATTATACTTTTACGAAATATGTGCTTTTTCCTGAGGGGTTTATGGATATAAATCACAAGTGTATTTGTTTATGCAAAAATGAAGCAATATAAATATGTTGATGAATGGAGAACAGAATATTTAAAGCAGGGACTCAAAGCTTGTTGTGTAAGTAAACATCAGGGGATCCTTCTTCATTCTTTTCCAGAACATCATCTTCTATATTTTTCAGTGTATCTTTTCACAGATCAGCAACAATATTTTCCATTTTTTTGGAGACCAAAAAGTAATGATGACATCAAAGGTAATGAAGATACCATTGCATATTATGGTGTGTGAGGCTTTTTGATCCCTCCTCTCTAAAGTGCTTGGACCAAGTGCTCTGCTCAAAACCCAACTCTGGAATGCACTTTTTAAAGAGTGTTTGCAGTGGAGATGTGGCAATGCATCTCTTTACAGTAGATTCTTCTCTTGACCAAGTAGAAGTCCAGAACTGGACACAGCCCAGTGAAGCTAAACTCAAACAGACTTGTGCTCACTTGTCTGTTATGGTTGCACAGAAGGAAGACATTTGGCAGATGCAATGTTTTCCTTTACACTTTACAGTAATGAGAGACTCTGCACTTCACCATACTGGCCTTCCTATACAGCTCATAACAGGATTTCTATTGGTTCCTGAACATGGAATCTAATGTATGAATTCTATCATAAGTAAGATAAATATTGGAAGATACAGAATTCAGGGCATTAGCAAAACAAGTTAAACAAAAGCATCCTGTGCTTCTAAGCCTTGACATTCAATGTACAAAGAAAAAGCTAATATTTTTTCCAGTTGCTCTAGATGTAATAATTTCAGGACAGAACACCACCATAATCCCAGGTAGATTTCTTTCTCTTGAAAAAAAAAAACAGGATAATAAGATTTTACCATATTAAAAAACATGACATTATTCATGCCAGTTTCTATTATCTTTCAAGACGAGTATTATTCTAATACCTGCAGAGTATTAGCTTCTAATTGTAACACATAACAGAGTCCAGAAAGAAAAATAATCTCTTTCTAAACAGGAAATTATGGGTGTAGATTGGATGGACATTTTACTATGCATTTCAGTTTAGACTGCATTCTTCCACATAGTATTATTTTCAAATGGATGTACATTTCCATCCAAAACCATGTGCAAGCTGTACGTAACTAGTAGCAGCAAGCTGAAATGGTATGTCTTTTAATAAATCTCTTTCATAAAAGCTTTTAATGGAGTCTATTACAGGGAGAATCATAGACTCATTAGAATAATGGAGTTGGAAGAGGCCTATAAGGTCATCAAGTCCAACACCTTGCTCAATTCAGGAATCCAAATCAAACTATATCTGAGAGATAGTTGTCTAATTTTCTCTTGACTGCCTCCAGCAATGGAGCACTCACCACCTGCTGAGGTAATTGTTCTACTGATGTAAAAGTTAAGAAATTTCTCCTGATATTCAATCAAAATATGTCCTGTAACTTGAGCCCATAATTACATCTCCATGCACTCTGGGATAATCAGCCCCTTATATAGATATGACTATCTTTCAAATATTTGAAAAGTACAGGTTGCTGTCCTCTGAAGATGCCGGCCACAGAGACTGGTGAAACGTCAGGAAGAACAACCTTCAGAACACGGCCAAAGAGCCCAAAAAACCCAGAACAACCATTAGATCCCGGCCGTGAAAGCCTTCGCGAATATATTTGAAAAGTATCATTATATCTCCCCTCAGTTTTCTTTCTCAAGGCTAAATATGCTAAGTTTTTTCAGTCCTTCCTCATAGTGCTTGGTTTCTAGTACCCTGATCATCCTCGTTGTGCTCCTTTGAACTTCTTCCAGTTTGTCAGCATCTTTCTCAAATGCAGTGTCCTGAACTGGACACAGTACTTAAGATGAGGCCAAACCAGTGCCAAATTGAGAGGAACTAGTATTTCGTTACAGTAGATTCTTCTCTTGACCAAGTAGAAGTCCAGAACTGGACACAGCCCAGTGAAGCTAAACTCAAACAGACTTGTGCTCACTTGTCTGTTATGGTTGCACAGAAGGAAGACATTTGGCAGATGCAATGTTTTCCTTTACACTTTACAGTAATGAGAGACTCTGCACTTCACCATACTGGCCTTCCTATACAGCTCATAACAGGATTTCTATTGGTTCCTGAACATGGAATCTAATGTATGAATTCTATCATAAGTAAGATAAATATTGGAAGATACAGAATTCAGGGCATTAGCAAAACAAGTTAAACAAAAGCATCCTGTGCTTCTAAGCCTTGACATTCAATGTACAAAGAAAAAGCTAATATTTTTTCCAGTTGCTCTAGATGTAATAATTTCAGGACAGAACACCACCATAATCCCAGGTAGATTTCTTTCTCTTGAAAAAAAAAAACAGGATAATAAGATTTTACCATATTAAAAAACATGACATTATTCATGCCAGTTTCTATTATCTTTCAAGACGAGTATTATTCTAATACCTGCAGAGTATTAGCTTCTAATTGTAACACATAACAGAGTCCAGAAAGAAAAATAATCTCTTTCTAAACAGGAAATTATGGGTGTAGATTGGATGGACATTTTACTATGCATTTCAGTTTAGACTGCATTCTTCCACATAGTATTATTTTCAAATGGATGTACATCTCCATCCAAAACCATGTGCAAGCTGTACGTAACTAGTAGCAGCAAGCTGAAATGGTATGTCTTTTAATAAATCTCTTTCATAAAAGCTTTTAATGGAGTCTATTACAGGGAGAATCATAGACTCATTAGAATAATGGAGTTGGAAGGGGCCTATAAGGTCATCAAGTCCAACACCTTGCTCAATTCAGGAATCCAAATCAAACTATATCTGAGAGATAGTTGTCTAATTTTCTCTTGACTGCCTCCAGCAATGGAGCACTCACCACCTGCTGAGGTAATTGTTCTACTGATGTAAAAGTTAAGAAATTTCTCCTGATATTCAATCAAAATATGTCCTGTAACTTGAGCCCATAATTACATCTCCATGCACTCTGGGATAATCAGCCCCTTATATAGATATGACTATCTTTCAAATATTTGAAAAGTACATGTTGCTGTCCTCTGAAGATGCCGGCCACAGAGACTGGCGAAACGTCAGGAAGAACAACCTTCAGAACACAGCCAAAGAGCCCAAAAAACCCAGAACAACCATTAGATCCCGGCTGTGAAAGCCTTCGCGAATATATTTGAAAAGTATCATTATATCTCCCCTCAGTTTTCTTTCTCAAGGCTAAATATGCTAAGTTTTTTCAGTCCTTCCTCATAGTGCTTGGTTTCTAGTACCCTGATCATCCTCGTTGTGCTCCTTTGAACTTCTTCCAGTTTGTCAGCATCTTTCTCAAAGTGCAGTGTCCTGAACTGGACACAGTACTTAAGATGAGGCCAAACCAGAGCCAAATTGAGAGGAACTAGTACTGTATTTCATGTGATCTAGAGGATATACTTCTGTTAATGCTGCCTAAAATAACATTAGATTTTTTTGCAACCACATAATGTTGTTGGTTTAAATTCAAGCTTGCGGTCAACAACAATGCCAAGATCCTTTTCATTCGTAGTACAGCAGGTATCACAATCACTGATTTGATGGTTCAAAATGATACTTTCATCACTAGTTCTGAGTTATAAAACCAACAGGGAAGATTTTGTTTATTTAAGATTTTTATATTAGGTATGTACACTGTCTTTGGATAAATGTGTAAAAATCAACTGCAATGGGATATTTATGCATTTCTGAGGTGACCCTGGGTGGAGCAAGGAGTCCAAACATATCAACAGGCTATAGCAGCCCCTTATAGATTCTTTGTGTTAAATCCAGCATTTACTTATCATGATCAGAAGTGAAGAAAGAGAAAGAAAAACTAAGGAAGATTAAGGTAGATATGCTCTTTACTTTAAAAGAAATACTCTTTTCTGCTAAGAAGCCATTGATCAACTAATCCAAGTCATGTGACCACAGCTAATTTCAGATGTAGGGAATAAGGGCAAGGGCAGAAAGAACAGAAGGAAAATATTGAAGTACAGGAATCCTATATTGTCCTTTAAAAAAAAATAAAGACAACTGAGGCCACTACCCGTTAAATGTCCTTCAGTCATCCCTCTTCTGATGACTGCTGTTGGAAGTCAACTGGGCACTTTCTTCTGGTTGGTGAAAAAAAATGAGGGGAAAGCAAACCAAAATACAGATCACCCAACTCTGCAGATTGTCGATGTTGCCCTTCTGTCTTGCCTGTACTATTCAGTCTGTGACCGGGCCTTTCTGCTGTCATTACCTTATTTGTAGGAATGGATCTTCACAAAGAATTATAAGCACACAAATACATTATGGATCAGGAGAAGGACTGGGTTGGAGTGTCTCCAGAAGTTGGATTGGGGGAGCCTGTACACCTCCCTAGTTGACAGACCACCTAGCTAGGGCAGTTTACAAACAGGAAAAACAAAGAAAGTCTCCATGGATTTTGAAAACAAATTAAATAAATACGCCAAAATAATATTGAAAAAGTTAACATGTTAGAATGCTAAGACATTTAAGAATCAGCAACAAACAAACTTAGACAGTAAAAACAACAATAAATATCAAGGACTGAATGTCTGCTGGAAGAGCCTTATCTGACACACCTGGATAATAGCACTCAGAGAAAAATCTCTGAAGATCATCTTATTAATTGGCCAGGAACATATAGAATGTATCCCAAGCACCTCTTCAGGCAAATTGGTCCTATTTAATGTAAGCCTTTAAAGGTGTGCAGCAAAACACTTTGAATAGGACCCAGAAAATGACTAGTCACTAGAACAGTTGATACAGTGTTGCAACAAGTGTTTATTTTTTTAAAAAACTGCATATTTTCTCATGGGACATTCACATCTGCCTTCAGCTTTTGGCAGCAACTGAATTGTTACTAGCTTTTATATTTTCAGTTCTATTCAATTCTATTCATTCTATTATTGAGCTTCCCCATTTATTACACTTTATGCTGAATTTATCTATTTTCCTTTTACATAAGGGGAGTTTCCATGTGCTTATGGAAAATTCAACTACAGCGTACTAAGCTGCTGAAACCTGAAAATTACATTGAAATAATGGGCTGGTATACTTAGGCAAGGGGACGTGGTGGCGCTGTGGGCTAAACCGCAGAAGCCTGTGCTGCAGGGTCAGAAGACCAAGCAGTCGTAAGATCGAATCCACGCGATGGAGTGAGCTCCTGTCGCTTGTCCCAGCTCCCGCCAACCTAGCGGTTCGAAAGCATGCAAATGCAAGTAGATAAATAGGGACCACCTCGGCGGGAAGGTAACAGCGTTCCGTGTCTAAGTCGCACTGGCCATGTGACCACGGAAGATTGTCTTCAGACAAAAACACTGGCTCTATGGCTTGGAAACAGGGATGAGCACCGCCCCCTAGAGTCGAACACCATTGTACAAAAATTGTCAAGGGGAATCTTTACCTTTACGTACCTATACTTAGGTATCTGGTTGCCAATCTAGAGGCTGGGAGTTTGATTCCCCACTGCGTCTCCTGAGAGAACAGCCAACTCATTCAGACTTGGTCAAGATGTACAGCACCAGAGTGCCTCAATAAGAAGAGAATAGTAAACCATTTCCACCTACTTTATGCCCAGGAACCTCTAGAAAGTCTGAATTAATTTGATGCATGTATTTATTTAATTATTATAGATACCACAAGCCCCAAAGATGGGGTGTTTAGAACCACATTGCCTAGGGGGAGCTGTAACAAGCCATTTTAGCACCCAGGGAAAGTGGTACCATCTCTCCCTAATCTACCATGAAGTGCGGATGTGTGTCCCCACAGAAAAGAAGGAAGATGATGCCTCCCTAAAGGCTTACTAGGATCCCTCCCTGTACCACTTCTGTTGTTCTGTGTCGTCAAGTCAGAACTGACTTAATGCAACCCTGTTAGGGTATTCAAAATAAGTGTGGCATTTAAGGAGTGGTTTGCCCCCCACCCTCACCCCCATGGATTTCCATGGCAGAGCTAGGGAACTGAACCAAAGTCTCCTGAGTCCTAGTTTGTCACTCTATCCACTACACCACATTTATACACTAACAAATTAAAACACAGTGTTGTTTTTTAGATTATCCTATCTTCCAGCAGAGCCACTGTTCCCCACAAATAGCATGCAGTGTTACTAACTATATAGCATTCTTGAAACCCAGTCTGACACAGACAGAACCGATGTGAATGCATTATGACACCTAGAGACAGTTGGAAGTACTATATATGGCAATTGCCATACAAGGAAGAATACAAAAAGGGCAAATAAATCCACTCTTGTGCCATTGCAATACATACAAAACAATAAGATATAACAGAGAAGCAAAAATGGCCAGGATGTCTCTAGTGTAATTAGACTCCAAGCAAATAAAAAAACAAAACAAAAAGATATTAAAATGACTTTTCCTGTTCTTATTACTTATTACTAAAACACTCAAACAATTACTGTTTCTTCAACAAATTGAAGTTTTAACCTTATATCATAAAAATAATAACTTCAGATATACAGTAAGTTACATATTATATATAACTATATACAGAATGGACAATGTGTATTTATTTTCAGCTACTCAGGAAAATACAATTATTACTACTCTTACCTGAAGTAATGGGTTCTGCATTATCAGGATTTTGATTACTGCAATTTCGAAGAAAGGATAAAATAGCTGGCAGACCTTTCTGTATCACTTCAGGTGGTGGAAATTCCAAAGGACAATGCCTAAGGTTCAAGGCTGTAAGTGTGGACAAGTTACCTGTTTAGTAAAAAAATTGGGGGGGGGAGAGAGAAAAAAAGTTAACTTGAAAATAGTAGAGTACCGATCAGATTAAGGACCAGAAGAACTATTTGGAAACATTTAACAGAGGAGAAGTCACCGTTCCTAGACCTTAAAATGAAAAAGAAAACTATTAAAATTCAGCAATTATCAGCTGTTGTTTCCTATCCCAGAACTGCCTATATTCATACTGCTACAGCAAACTTGTCTTTCTATCCCAAAGCATTCTTTGGTTATGCTAATCAGATGCTTGTTACCAATGTTAAAGTATGCGTGTCATTAATTGTATCTCATTTCATCCCAATCCCATTCTTATAAACATGTGCACTTGTATATAAACTTGCGGCTTGACTACTGTATGACATGCCTCTCAGGAAGTGGCACATACAATCCATACAACGTTTTTGTTGTTGTTACTATACATGTAAAAGTCAGAATACAGTTAAAGATGCTTGCATAAGATAAAACATGTCCATATTTGTACACAGTGATAAACCAGAATTGTTGAGAATTCTGCTCACTTGGTTTTTCCTGCCAGATTGAGCTGACATCCAGCCAACAGCTACCTGAGGTGTCGTTTGAAAACTGCACCCAACAGCTACCTGAGGTGTCGTTTGAAAATCGCACCTCCAATGCAGTCTGCATTTTTTTTTTCTAACTCATCTCTAAGAAGCTAGCCTGGCACAACCACCATGAATTTTTAGAACTCTGATTTCTGCACTATTCACAAAACGTCAGTGCATGGCTTGAGGAAGTGGATTTGACTCACAGAAACTCTGCTTGATTTTTTTTTTTAGTAGCCTAATAAAGCTATCACCTTCTTCTGTATTTGCATTGTGTAAGAGCTGCATGGCTTTCTTTGTTTCCCCCCAGAACTTATAAAAAGTAAAAGGGCTTCGAATTCAATTTCCTCATATAGTTATCTTGTTATCTTTACAAAAAACAAAAACAAAAAAAATCTTGTTCATGGAGACAAAATCTGTTCTTAACCTGGAAAACCAAAACCAGAAGTACTGCCCATGGTGGAGAGCTTTTTTTTAAAAGTGTCTTTGGAAAGAGACCCTGATCCCTAGGAGTTGTGTGCATGTTTGTGCATATGCTTGGCTCATGAAACAAAAGGCGAGAGTGTCAGTGTTTTGGCAAAGCAGTAATTTGTGTGTATGAGTGTGTACCTGGCTCATCCTCCCCTTCTGAATCAGTTCAAGTGTCTGAACCAATCTGAAAAGATTTATATTTTTAAAAACTAGAAGGTTCCCTGGTGAAGGGGAAAAACTCCAATGGGGAGGGGACTCCAGGCTGATTTGCACTTCCTGTTGTGTTGTGTGATTATCGGGGGGGGGGGGGAAGGGAATCAATCTACTCCAAACCCATAGTATTTCCCACATCTTTCTGCCAATGTGGTTGCCTTCTTTGTCTTATTGGTCACTAGCAAATAAATAACAAACAGATTTTAAAACCCATGGTTCATACTCTATTTTGTTAGGGGACAGAAACCATCTGAAAGAAAAGTTGGGCAGAAACACCATGGCATTCTGTTAGCCCACTTAATAACACAATAGGAGCATGGCAGGTAATTCAAGAAAGACCCAGAGGACTACGGAAGCAGTTCACATAGATCATACATGCTATCCCAAAGCCACCAAACAGGGAGTGTTAATTGGTAGCCAGAATGTAGTCTAATAGCACTTAAACATCTGAAACTCCATTGAGTTTCCCTGCAGCTTTTGTGAATCTAAATTCTGAACAGGAATGGCCCATACCATCCAATATCCATCCTTGTTCTCCTGAGGTACTTCTGTTGGAAGCCAGAAAATTTCCATTGCACTAGTAGAAATACAGAATATCTTCACAGAATACAACTTTTATGTAACCTGCTCTATACAAATGGGTGTTCCCTACCTCAACAACATCAATGAAAACATTATGATTTTAACAGGATGAATACATATATTATGTTCAGCACTGAGAAACAGAGTGAAGAGGAAGAGAGAAAAGGAGGGAGAAAGCAGCCACATATTATGTTGGTTTGAGGATGAACATCCATTATTTTACCTATAGTTCTTCCCTACCCCCAGCAAATATCACATTTAGATGAATAAAAATTAGCACAAGTGTTTGCAGTCAGTTTGTTGAAGTAGCCTTCCTGTTTTTCATTGCATCTAGACTAAAAATACACACCAGCATTTTGCCAACTGCAAGTTTGCTTCACATAAATATGCTCTCCGGTAAGAAATGTTCTTTATATAAAACACTTTGATATTTAATGAAAACAGAGCTAACATCAATTTGGGGAGAACAATATGAAAAATACTGAGATCCTGAAAGCAGTCAATAACAGACTTCTCAGGCTGCCTTGAAAATGGCATTTTAAAAAGTCCATTCACAGCTTGACTGAACATCTTTTCTTTTTTGCTTCATTTCGTGAGAGTGCAATAGTTAATATTCTGTATGAGTCTGAACTTTATTCATGACTGTATTACATTGCTTATTTGCACATAAAGTGTTTCTGAGAAACCAGTGGAGGAAGACAAATATCTTTCTAGATCAGGTTTGCTTAATTCTATATTACTAGCAATTAAAAGCTATCATGAATGTTGTAAAACAAATTTCCTCTGGAGAATGGTACCCTAGCAGTAAAAAGAGTACTCTTATTGTTTCCAATGGTAATTTTCTTTTGTGCCTCTTTGATTCCTTCTTACTTAGCTGCCTTCTCATAAGCACGCTACTCCTTTTGTATAATGTGAAGATCATTCTCTCTCAATATCTATCACACACATACACACACACCCTTATTCATTTTTTAGGAAGAAATAAGGAGCCCTTTCTTAGGAAGATGCAAAGCAACTAGGATACCATGATTTTCAGGTGAAGGAGTCTCTACTGTAGCAGCATGAAATATTGATAGATTGATTTGCATGTGGTCTCCATGACTCTTCTATAGTGTTGCATAGCAAAAATGTAAAATGCTTCTTAATGAATAATAAATTATGTTTATACATTACAAGCACTATACAGTAAATGTGTGTTGAGGTAATGTGTGACATACTTAGGGTGAGGTGATTCTAGATTTGAGGAACAAACTATAATAAGCAAAGAGGAATGCTGAAATGAACAAGGAAAATGTACTTATCCACATAAAATAGACTAATGATGATTCTTCATATTACATGGAGTCTTCTTCCCTAGGCTTCCAATAAACAATTTAATTTACTCGCAGGTAAAATATCTTGGGTTCACTTTGACTTGGGGAAATTATTGGAGCAGGGCATGTTGAGTAAACCTGCCAATATTGTCCAATTGTTCTGGATACCTTTCAAGTTGTAGATCTCAAGGATGTGCAAATGATACTGTGTGTCTGGAAAAACTTGTCTGCTGTTACCCTTTCTGGATGATTAAATGAGCCAAGGCAGGAGTTACTGCTTGCTTAAAGAAGTAGTACTAAGATTTTTATTAAAAAATCTTGCTTTGACTCTAGTTTTGGTGAATCATAGGCTGGTCTCCAAAATGTACCATTCATTACTAAGATGTATTCTCAAAGGCTTTCATGGCTGAGATCGGATGGTTGTTGTAGATTTTTCAGGCTGTTCATCTTCAGATAGTCTATCCCACACACTATGCCAGAAAGAGTTCTAACTTCTGTTCTCTGAAGATGCTGGGGATAGAGACTGGCAAAACGTTAGGAAGAAAAACCTCCAAAAATGGGCAAATAGCCCAAAAAACCTACAACAACCATTACTAAGATATTAGAAAAGATGAAGTTACTGCCACAGCAGACACATCTGAACCCTACAAATAGCCCAAAAAACCTACAACAACCATTACTAATATATTAGAAAAGATGAAGTTACTGGCACAGCAGACACATCTGAACCCTATAGATTATCTTGACCTGGGATCAGACTACCCTGCTCAGCCTTTATGGCTTTCTACAAGGAGGGAAACCTTAAACAAATAGTATTTCTCTGTCTCTCCAGGAGCTCATGTTGGGCACTATAATTAGTATGAAGTCACAGTCTTCTGGTCTGTTACCATTATTTATTAATTAAGCTGTAGCCATGTCACATTGTGCCTGACTAAAATTCTCTATTGTTCAACAGAACATTCAAAATAGAGTTAATTACTAAAAATTGCTAGGCTTCCTTAAGTGTTCATGGGGTGGGGTGGGGAAATACTGTACTTACCAAGCTCAATAGGTAGTCTTTTAATAGGGTTTCTTTCTAACAGCAGAGTTTTCAGCTGGCTTTGCAATCAAAAAGAAAACAAAAAAAATTTAAGTATAAAATAAATCTTGTGGTAAATACAGTTAATCCAGCCATTTTTACCAGTGTTTTAAAAAAAGAAAAAAGAAAAACAGCATTTCTAGGTAGCAGAATTTTAGCTAGACTCTAAAATTAGTGCTATGAAGTATGAATTAATGCTATGTGGTCACCAGAAGTGAAAAAATATCATGTCTCTCAGATGTCAGGCCACACAACAACCATCCAATCATCAGTCAACATTTTGATACATATAAGAGAAATATTTATGTTTGATTTGATAACCAGTTAGAAGACACACTGAGTCATATCACTTGAGGAGTCCCCATCACCACGAATAGTTCCTAACTCATATCAAGTTGTAGTTTTTAAAGTGATAACCGTGTTAGTCTGTGCTCGCATGTCAGACTGAAGTGGACTTGTCCACGAAAGCTGACATTAAAATAGAGCCGTTAGTCTTCAAGGTACCACAACAATTTTGTCTTCTTTGTTTTGTTTTTGCCTGACAATCCATATTAAGTACCTCAGTTTTGGTCTACAGAATCCTTGTGTTATCGCTATTATTTAACAAGACAGTATATATATCAGGAAAGTGTAAATATGTGTGAAATGTAAAGATCAGTGTACCTCATTCAGTGCAAGATTGCATATTTGTTCATGGGCAGGTTGCACACTAGCCTAAAAGTCAAGCTAAACAGTGACAAGAATATCCATGTTTGTTCATGTGTTGCTATGTGAATCTGGAAAAGTAGAGGAGTGGGAAGGTCTAACTGCAATATGAAAAGGATAAACTGAATAAGGAGAACAGAATTCTTTGCATATTTCTCTCCTTCCGTGTTCTTGATTTCAAAGGAAACAACAGCTGAGTGTAGCTGCACTTGTACACCAGATTTTAGGAAAGCCAATTTTAATTAGAGCAATGATAAGTAAGGTCCCATGGCAGGAGATGCTAATAAAAAAAGTAGTCCAAGATGGGTGGGAGGTTCTTAAAAAAGAAATTCTAAAGGCACAACTACAAACAATTCCAACAAGAAAAAAATGTGGAAGACAGCAAAAAAGACCAATGTGGCTTCACAAAAAGCTCAGTGAGGTTCTGAAAATATAAAATGACACATATAGGTAGTGGAAAGAAGGCTAGGCTACAAAAGAAGAGTACAGACAAGTAGCAAAGAGCTGCGGATATGATGATACAAAGACAAAATCTGAGAACTAGCGGAGGTTAGCAAGAGATACTAAAAGCAACAAAAAAAGTATTCTTCAACCATTTGAATCCAAGTGGTTGGATTCAATGGCATCACAGGCCCCTTCCAACTCTATTAATCTGTAAATCTATGATTCCCACAGTTCACTTTTTCACCAGCCTGAAATTTTTCTATCTCAGCCAGAAAATGTAAGAGTTTGACCAAATGATGCAAGGAGGTGTCAAAATGCACTAATCCTCAAGATTTCTGTGACAATGAACCCATTTCTGAAGAAGGAGCCAAACTCTGGTACGGCTACTAGCAAAAAAGAAAACCTGAAAAACTTCATACCTTCTAAACTTGGGTACCTATATGTTCTTAGACTACAATTCCCAGAAATCTTGCCCAGCACAACTAATGTTGAAGGCTTCTGGGCGTTTTAGGCCAATAATATCTGGGAACCCAAGTTCGGGAATCATTGCTCTAAACCATAATCAGTGTCTGTCTGAGACTTCAGAACCAGTACTGATTATAGGTCTGGTGATACTAGGAACTCTGGTTTCACTGCCCTCAGGTCTACTCAGGAGGAGAAGGCAAGCCCCACATGTGCTTTAGATGCTAGACTTGAGCAGTTCTAGTTTGAAGACTCTGGGCTGCTCTTTTTTCAAAGTACCAGCTTAAGCGTGTTTTTTAAACAAATCTATTCAACTTAAGCATACTTTTTAAAAAAATCAATAATATAATGTGTAGTTTGGCCCTTAGCTAACTATGTCAAGCCTAGTTTTTACAATTCACTGGCTTACGCTTTTCTTCATTTCTGAGCTCAATTAGGACAAAATTTTACTAGTTCATAATTAACATGAATTGCTCCATGAGCAGCATAATAATAGTAAAAAGAGGTTAAGCAAGCAATGTAGTGGAAGACTTACTTGTGACATCCAATTCCAGAGGGGAGTTCTTTAAATTTGTTATAACGCAGATCCAGCCAAACAAGATTTGGCAAGCGCTCAAAGAAATCTTCAGGAATTACTGATAGGGAATTTCCCTCTAGATGCAAATGCTAAAGCAAACGATGAAGAGATATATGTGTATATACACACACACATGTGCGCGTGCACGCACACACACACAAACAGAGAGAGAGAGAGAGAGAGATGAATACATTGTAATGGCTGAATGTTTGGCATACAATTCATGCATCATGAATTCCTGAGAAATATTCAAAATAGATAAACTTTTAGCTGATAATAATTAAAGTAATTTTTTCAGGATTGTAAAGGATATAGGAATAATCAAATTAAATATCTGTACATTCCATTTCAAGCTTTTAAAAAGTAGATGAATATTACAACCTAGTTGTTTACTTTATAATGCAACTACTTAGTAATCAAATATATTAACAACTGCTATAAGAGAGCTTACTTTAAGGTTATATAATTTGTATATATCCTCTGTTAGATGTTGCAGATCCTTTCTACTCAAATCCAAAGAGACTGACGAAGTAGACACAAGGTTCTCAAGACTCTGGCGGATGCATCTTGATGAACTAGATGCAGAATTAAATTTACTTTGGTTCTGCACATTCTGAAGGTTATCACCACCAGCATCCGTTTCTGGGGAAGACCCTTTTTCCTCCATTTAATACGAAAACACTTGGACTAAGGTAGAAATCTGAAAGCTCTTCATCCAAAGGTAATAAACTGAAAAATATATAATTTTTAATAAATAAAACAAGAAAATGTCATCAAACACATCCACATACAAGTTGCAACAAGAAAATAAATAAGGCAGATAAAAATCAACAATCTGAATTCATTCAGCATTTGCACAATGTTTTCAGCCAAACATGAATGACTTCCTTCTTTGCACTAAAGTGGGGTGGAGTGGGGAAAATACAACCTGTGTATCTTGATAAGCCAGAAGCAGAATCACATATCCTTTGACTGCACATTCTGAAAAGTTATCACCACCAACACCAGTTTCTGGGGGAAACTAGAGCTAGAAGCAGAGTTACTGTACTTTTCCTGTGGACTTCATGCAGCCCCTGGGGGCCAAAATATATCAGCCAGCACTCGTTGGGTCCCTAGTACATTTTTCTTAAATGGCTCAACATAATCACCTTGTGTCCTCTAATGGGTGTGGGAGGTAATTTTGTCATGTTTCGAGGATCCTAATCCGCCTGGAGTACTGAACAATACATACAATCTTTTTTAATTGACCACTAGAGGGTGCACAGAGCTTTTCAGCAATTCTCCCCCCCCCCTTTTTTTTTTGCAGGAAATAGTTTAGGGGCAGGGTGTGTGTAAGAGTTACTTGCACCCTCCTCCTGACTTCTGGACATCAACCAAACCTGCACTGAAATACAGTAGCACCAGTACTGAGATATATGTATAAAATGTGGGAGGCATCAAGAAACTGATGAGTGGCGAACTTTTTGCAAAATGGTTTTAGGACACTTACATAATATCCTTTTTCCCTTTGAAGAAATTAGTGGGAGAGATCAGTTCTGATCATCTATAAGTACACTGATCACAGAAAGAACTAAGTGAAAAAGAATTACCATTTCTGTGGTAAAAAAAGCATGTAACTCTCAAGTAAACTGAAAAGGAATGTATTTATAGAAAGACCTTTAGAAAACAGTAACAAACTATATGTATGGTAGGAGAAGAAAAAAATGGCATCTCATCATCCGTTATGTCAGACACTGTTAAACATATGTGCATGTCATTTATACAACACTGCATAACTACCTATCAGAATGAAGTTGCTTGTGCCTCCACCAAGGCAATGTTCCAGAGTTTACCAGGGATCTCATGAAACATTTAAAAAGAACTTATTCTTCAGGCTCAAGTGTACACTGTACCACAGAGAAACACGCAGAAGGGTCTTAGAAGGGGAAAAGGAACCACTAGCAAAACCATAATTCTAAAAAATCTGGCTTTCTCAAAACAGGGAAATACCTAGGCCTGCCCCCTCCATCATCACTTGCTTCATGCAGTCACTTGAAGAGGAGAAGCTCCTGCTGGTATGAGCAAGAATCTTGGTTCAGAGCATTCGTCTCACTTTAAAAGCCTCCACATGAGCATTAATTTCTTCTCTTCGGAATAGTTGATTGTTATGTGAATAAAGTGATGATGAAAGGGGTAGGGCTTAGCACTTCCATCTAAGCGCATGGAGAACAGTCGTTTCTTGGTTCTAACTTCAACTCTTCCCAGGCCAGTGGATGTTGCTTCATCAGACTCAGTACAAGAGCACCTCCAGCACAGGATAGGAGACAATTACTGCAAAACCAGGCAGTGGTTACTTAAGGGCACAGGAGGCAGATAGGTTGGTCAGCCTTCAGAAGGCCTGTGCACTTTGGCAGAACAAATATATAAGCAAAAAAATTACAATATACTGTATAAGTTTAAAGCATAGTTTAAAAATATACACAGAAATGTAAATGACACCTTACCATTTAAACTTATTTTAATAGCAATGTAAATTAAAGGTCTGTCGGGGGCGGGGAAGCTAGTTTCTCATAGAAGGACAACAGAGAGGTAACTAATCTAGCCCACCTTGGCAGGAAGCCACTGAGTGGGCTCTTGCATCACCACGAAACATAGCTCTGGTAATGGTGGAACCGAGACGAAGACTTAGCCCAGAAGGTTCAAGCTGGGCACGCTTTTATATGGAGGAATACATCCTTTCAGATATCTCAGGCCCCAAACTCAGGAGCTCGGTGTATACTGACCGCCATTTTGCATTATGCCTGGAAACATATCTTTAGTTAGTGGAAATTTTATAACAAAGGAGCCATATGCTCCATGTAAGGTAAAGGTTTCCCTTGACATTTAGTCCAGTTGTGTCCGACTCTAGGGCCTGGTGTTCATCCCTGTGTCCAAACCATAGAACCAGCGCTTGTCCATAAACATTTTCCATGGCCAGTGCGACTAGACACGGAACACCGTTACCTTCCTACCGTGGTGGTACCTATTTATCTACTCACGTTTTACATGCTTTCGAACTGCTAGGTTGGCAGGAGCTGGGACAAGTGGCGGGAGCTCACTCTCACTCCGTCATGTGGATTTGATCTTACGACCGCAGGTCTTCCAACCTTGCAGCACAGAGGATGCTCCATGTAGCTGGCTCTGATTAACAGTATGGTTGCAGATTTCTGGACCAGTTAATGTTTCCAAAGAATCTGAGAATACAGTTCCACATAGTGGCTGGAATCCTGTTGAATAGCTATGTGGTATTAATTCGACATTATACCTGCAATGGCTACAGCACCACCAAGGGGCGATGGGCCTATAGTTGCCAATTTCGTCCTGCAATGGCTACAGCACCACCAAGGTGGAAGGGCTATCCACAAAGCACTTTTGCCAGCACATTGAACAGTTGGTCCCATGTAACCAATTGTGCCTGGGAATGCACCTGCATAACTTTACATTATGTAGTGACTATCTGTATTCCAGCCAGCAGGTATTTACAGTACTCCAACCAGGATGTAACTAAGTCATGTGTTACTGAATTAAGATTTGCTATTTCCAGGAATGATGGATTTGGCAAACTACCCAGCACTGCAAAAATCTGGGCATCAAGGTTTAGGACTGATTCTAAGAAAACATTTGAACTGGGAACCTTAGTCTTTAAACAGAAAATAGTCTCATCCAAAACATGTTGAATTCCTGTTTCTTGTCTTTGTAGAGGATGGGACCATTTGCTATTTCCAGGAATGATGGATTTGGCAAACTACCCAGCACTGCAAAAATCTGGGCATCAAGGTTTAGGACTGATTCTAAGAAAACATTTGAACTGGGAACCTTAGTCTTTAAACAGAAAATAGTCTCATCCAAAACATGTTGAATTGCTGTTTCTTGTCTCTGTATATACCCTAAAGAAAGAATTAAAAAAGGTTCTGCCCTGCAAAATTTTTGACTGAAAAGATAAATTAAGTAGATCACAGAACAATCCTACATGTGTCTAGTTAGTAATGGCTCATTAAATTCAATTGGGGTTACATCCAAGTAAGCATGAATAGGACTGTAGCCACAAACACTCCATTAGGCAGATTGGTGGACTAGCTTAGAACATTCTTCATGATATAACAAGGGATGGTATACACTGCAGCATCGCTGTATTATGGAGAAAGCCAGATAGTACTGCAGCATACTGTGACAACTTAACATATTGGACCAGTGATCAGTTTCCAAGGAATCACTTAGTCTTAGCTAGCTATAGGAATTCTCACAGTGAGAGCAAGTAATATCACTCTGATCCAGCAAACTATTTTTTCATATTTTTAGCATGGAAATCTATTCAATTAAAAAGACAAACTGTTATTGAGATTCTAAGTAGGCATGTTTGTTTTAGAAATGTAATACATGCCATTTGACCATGAACATTCTCTGTCTCAGCATATCCATACAGTATTTATCTACATCTAAACCTAGAGTACAACATCTCTGTCAGTACCAAGCAAAATATCGGTAGTGAACAGTTTTCAGTTTCTCCAGCACTATTCACCATATTAAACTAAGGTATGATGTAAAAAGCTGTAAAATGTGCCCTAGTTGTTGTCTGAAGTTACAGTGTAGAAACAAGTTACAGACTTAGTTGGAGTGGGCTTTCCTTAGTGTTATGCAGCTGGCTGGATAGCTCAGTAAGTTGGGTATCTGACTGCGAGACCAGAGATTGAAAGTTCAATTCCCCACTGTCCTTCCTGGGAGAAGAGCCAACCTGTGTGGCCTTGGGCAAGCTGCACGGTCCCTGGATGCCCCCAGAAGAAGGAATGATACACCAGTTCTAAGTACTTTCTACCTAGAAAACCCTTAAAAGGGTTGCCATAAGTCAGAATTGACTTGATGGCACATGATTATTAAATGTTATGACGGCACACAATTATTAAGCATTACGCAGTTTTCAGGTGACATCTAGGGATGCTGGAGGCAAAAAAACCCCAATCAGAATGGATCTTTCCTCATATGTTGACATATCTACCAAGATATAGAGGATTTTATGCAAATCATGAGGGTAACTGGAAGTAGTTCTTAAGGCAGCAACATCTCCACTTACTCCTGACTTTTATTAAACAGGAATGAATAACAGTTTGGAATCTCTCCCAAAACTGTAACATCCCCACCTCCAGGACCTCTTTCCAAGGTGCAGAAGTTCTCAAACAAATACAGTGATAATTCCTGCACATCTCCAAACACTGTTAGCAATACTCCAGACCATAGAGCTTTAAGCGTACTCTTGCTCCCTTTGCTGTGAATTTCTTCAAGTACAGTAGTTCAAAATTCCTACATGAACAGCATGTAAGAATTAATGTACAACCTGCTCAGCAATACATAGAAGTAGCACAATCTGCACAGAGTTGCAATCTTAACAAATAACAATCTATACAAAAATTGTCCTTTGCAATCCAATTTTGTCTGTTTAGGGCATCTGTAATTTGGGAAGAGATCCTTATTTGGGCATAGATAGAAATGAAGGATGCAATTACACACATTGGGATTAAAACCACCCATAATTAAGTTTAACTCACTAGGAAGAAAGGGGGGGGGAGAGACTCCTCTTTCTCTCCCTGAAGTTCTTCAGTCTTTCTTTTCCTGTGTTTTTAACACTGTATGGTTAAAATGTTTGAATAGTCTTACTTTTCGACAAGCAAGGAAGCTAGTGTTTTTAGACTTTCCACATTTTGCAGGCAGCACAGAATACTGTTATCTCCCTTTCAGTTTCCCCACCATCCTGTCCGTCTCCCCCACCCCATCTCCCTTTCCCCCTTTCTCTCTTCCCCGACCTGATGGCTCAGTAGGGTTCCCCTCACCGGTTCTTATTGCCCCAGCCAGCTTACTTTCCGCCAACTTGTCCCCGGGCTTGCTGCGAGGGGACGCCCGGTTGCCACCACAGGGAGCCAACCCTCCACTGCAGCTCAGCCGGGCCCTCTCCTCCCCACCCGCGGGTCTGTTTTTCTCTTTGGCTTTGTGTCGTGACCAAAATGCAACAAACGGGCCGCGAGCAGCAGCTGCCGAGGTCGCCATAGCAACCCTCAAGCTGCCGGGAAGCGCAGGAGGCGGGCGGCCTTCTTGCGCCTCGCCAGCCTCTGAAAAGAGAGGAGGGAGGAGCGGGGAGCGGCGACCTCTCTCCCCCCCCCCCGTGCGGGGCAACCCGATCTCGATTCTCCCCTGCTTTTGCACAGCGCAGAGTTGCTTTCATCTGCCGTTTTCTCCTCATCGCCGCCTTATTTCAAACAGGGACGCTGAAACACTTTACAAAAAAGGCAGAAAAGGGAAAAGGAATAGAGAAAATGCCCACCCCCACCTCTCATTTCTCATTTTCTTCTCTCTGCTGTATTTCTGAATGGCTGTAACTCTCTACAGTTACAGCCATTCCGTCAAGCCATTGTAGATCCGGCGCCTCTACTTCCTGGCAGACCCTCCGCCCCCCCCATTCCCCCTCCCAGCGCTGGCTCAAGATGTTTTGCTGCCGGGGACAAAGGAGAAGATACCCNTGTTTTGCTGCCGGGGACAAAGGGAGAAGATAACCGCACTCCCAATCGCATGTCAACGGTGGCGTTTTTCTTCTCTGCTGATGATGCTCCATGTTTCCCCTCTTACATCTGAGAACAGCAGCCTAGTTTATGGGAGCTAGAAAGGTCATGCGGTGCCACAGCTCTGCCTATGGACAGAAGAGGATGCTCAGGAAGAATAGCTGCCCCACTGTCAGCTTTCAGTTTCATGCCCTGTTCCCTCACACTGTTTTCTTCACATCCTGTACAGCTACATTCTCTAGAAAATGGCACCCATTTTACTGGAAGAATTACTACTTTAGATGCCCTATTGGGGAACACAGAGGGCTCCCACTTGGATTCATAGAAAGAATGGGAAATGCTCATGTCTTTGTTATTCAACACCATGAAAATGTGGTTAATACACCAGTGCTTTATTTTGTATCCCTTCTTGCTTCAGCATGTCCTTATTCTGTTAAGACAAACTACCTCAGCACCGAGGACATGGAGGCCTGACCACCCCAAAAGTCCTTCTTGCCACTTCTTCCAGACTAAGTGGCCAATGACATCAGAAGGCTGCACTAGCTCTGCCTGTTGGTATATATTTATTTCCTGGTGGAGGCTTAACAATGTACTTAATAAAGTATTTACAAGTAGATCATATAATCTGCTTCTAAGTGTGCTGGCCACACTCATTTTACACAGCCCCAGTTAAGATTTTTTAGCTATAGGTCTGACTCTCACTTCTTCCCTCAATGCACACAACAGTGCTATTTTGTATTTAAATACAATTTAACACATTGGACAGTGAGACACCTACCCTTGGAAACGCATTTTTACTACTATGAAAGGGAGCAAATTCGTAATAATTATTATGTGTTCTTAAGTTGATTCTGAGTTATGGTGACTCTTGGCAGAGTTCCCTAAATATAAACTACTCAGAAGTGATTCACCAATCCTACCAATCTAGTCTGTGTAGCTTGCTGAAGGCTCTTCCCTAGGAAGATGCAATTGGGAGAATCAAACTCCCAAATCCTGGTGCAATTCACTGAGCTGTCCAGCCATGTAGCAAATTCTTAGCTATTTGTTGTCATTGCAATGTTATTGGCAGGGAGAAGAAGAGGTGCTTGTAGGATTTTCTGCCTCATGGTAAAATAACCAGGCCAGATTGTCCCTTCATACAGTCAATGTGGAATAATGAGAGTTTTGGACAAGGACTAGAGAACCCTGATTTGAAATCCTTAATCCATCATGAGATTTATTGGCTGACAACTGCAGCCTCTGCAGATATTAAAAATTAATTTATATGCAAGCTGTTACCAATACTCCTGCAAAAGGAAATTTCAGGTGTACTGCCCTGATGACTAATTTTTCCTTGTTCTTTGCTTCTTAACCTTAAATTACTTTTATATAAACCATTGGGTACATGTGGATTAGTGGATTAATTTTGTTTTCAGTGCAGTTTTGCTGACTGTTTGGCTGCCTTTTTCTAAGTAACGTTGCTGTGCCTTTAACGACTTGTATGACAGGCAAAACTCTAAATAAAGTCTGCCTCTATTTAAATGTTTGCATGTGAAAAAGAGCGGGTGTCTACTAAGAAAAGGTATAAATTTTAGTTAGGATTCTAGCAACTGTTTTTTGATATTTTTATTCAGTCTGTAGAACAGAACAGTTTGATAAATAACCTTTTCCTTATATGGAAATAATTTTAATATAGAACAAATTAAAAATATATTAGTCCCCTTCACATTACTAACTGTGCCATTGTTTCAGCTTCAACCAAATCAACATGAGGACATTTCATTAACTGGAAACGATTTAACAGAAGGTTTGGGTACAAAGGAAAAAATAGTTTAGTGAATAATGTATGTGCCTCACAGAAAGCTGGGATAGATGAACTGCTTCAATTACAGTATATTCTATATAGCAGAAACATCCTCCTGGGGATTATAAGAACAGTGTTTGACTTAGAGCAGCTTTTCATAATTTTCTTGACAAAAATCTACCCTCATTAGTCTCAATATTTTTCTATTCTCATCCACAAATTTTAAAAGACAAATTACATGTACTGGAGCCTGAAAAACAGATCCGGGAAAGGAAATTAAAGCGAAAAACCAGTAATATAGAACAAACAAGAGCAGAACCTGGATAATTACCTTTAAGAATGAATAACATGACCTACTGAAGCCACTGATAACTCAGCAGGGGTAAATGTTGCTCAAGTTATGGATGGCTTTGTATCCATTATATACACATTCTTCTTAAAAGTAACCTTCTAAGAGTAAAATCGAACAGGTGTAAAGCTCACTGTTTGGTCTGCTGTGGGGACAGGTTGGTGTGCTCTTTTTTTCAAGCAATTATACAACATAATCACTGGAGTGAACTAAATTGTTCCCAGAGCATCTCTACCAACACTTTTCTGATTCCCTATCAGCGGTTTCTACTTTTTGGTGCAGATCATATCACTCTAGTTTAGTCCATTTCCAGTGCATGTGATTGCTGAACCACTTCAGGATATTGGCAAATTGAACACTACTGCTGTTCCCCGGTAGTGGGGTAAGGCAAGTGAATTTGTATTAAAGACACTGATAGATCACTGCTGATGGTCCTTTGTCTTCAAAGGCTGGTTGAGAAACTTTAGTCATGTTGCCCTTCAGACAAGACAAAGAAAATATTTAAAAATTTATTTTTATAGAAGTGATGCAGCACCTCAGCAATGGTCTACCAGAGTCTTAAACGTTTTTTTTACTATCCCTGCTCCTCTGCCTAGGAGCAGAGTGTAAGTATTCAGTTTGCCAGTATCCTGAAGTGGCTCACTTGTTATGCTTATTAAGCTTATTATTTCATTATATAGGAAATTCAAAACAGAAGGAGCCAGACCAAATAGGGTAATTTGAGCTCTGATGTGCCATTTGGATGCAAGGATTGCACCAAATGGCATATCACACTTCAACCTGACTCCAAGCGGCCCTATTTAGCCCACCCCAGCCCACTCCAAAATGACCAGTGTTGACAAGCCCTAAATTCTGCATTAAAAGAAAATAATCTTAATGTTAACAGAAAATAGCATTCAGCACCTCAAAGGCTGAAATGTGTATAGAAAAATTTAATTGTTTGTAATTCATTTTAACACTAACTGAAAATGACATTTGACACTTCAAAGGCTGGAATATGTACAGAACAATTCCTTGAAAAATGTAGAATTTAACAGGTTAAACAATATTAGTGTATTTGATAATCTTGTCCAGTAGTAAAATGCAGGGGATTACAGAAACACCATCTGTAGGAAAAGTATCCATTTTATGAGCCTTATACTGTAATTTCTTTTTATCAGTGACAATTAAAAATAATTACAAATTACATAGCATTGTGCTGTAAAGCATTCAAAGCATTTCACCTTCTGCGATCTTTAAAACTGGGTGGGAAGGAGTGATTTCCAAAAATATGGTGGCCTAGGTGGCCTTAGTATCATGCAACAGTTGAATATCTAAATTCTGGTAGCATGGGCTCCCTTTTGAACATGTGTCGAAATATAATCAGTTGAGAGGCAAATGACTTCATATCTATATACTAAGATATTCTACAAAAATAAAAAAAATAGGGAACATTAATAATGCTACTGTATGCAAGCATACTCAAAAAGCTTACTATGCAGTCCTTGTGGTTTACTTCAATTCCCAGCTAAATAAAATACATATGATTGAAATCTAAAAGTGCAAAATTATCTGATTCTTACCAACCTCATTTAGCTTGGATGTGATCATCCAAGCTGAATGAGGTTGGTAAGAATCAGATAATTTTCCACTTTTAGATTTCAATCATATGTATTTTATTTAGCTGGGAATTGAAGTAAACCACAAGGACTGCATAGTAAGCTTTTGTGATATCCCCTCTCTTTTCCCAGTCTCAACCAAGCAGCAAAACCCAGAGGTTTCACTATGCATAATTACTGCACAAAAGTTGCGCAAGCCTGGTTTCACTCATATCTGAAGCTGTCAAAATTGATAGTAGCAAATAAGGTATTCACTGTTAGGGTACTCTTTATGTAAGGGTGCCTCAGTCATTAGTTTATAATATAAAAGTGCAGGGAATAACACTGACAGTGAGGAATTGTGTCAGTCTGAAATAGGAGCTCTCCCCCAGGAGGATTTGTGAGGATCGATAAAAATCCATTATATAGCTACTAAATGCAGACAAAGAAAAATGAAAGCATAAGAGCTTTACATTAATCTTAGATAAACATATTGTAATCTATGGATAATTTAATTTATACTACCTACAATTCTTGCAAGATGAAAAATAATATTGCCAGTGTTATGTTGTCAGATAGACACTATTATAGAATTACTTCTATTGCAGATAGGATTTGCTTAGTGAAGGAAGCAAACATACAGAAATAAGATAGCAAAGTTAGATAATGTCACATTAAACCTTGTCTTCGCAGTCACTCCCGTCTCTGTACTTGCAGATTAGGCTTGAGTGTCAA